ATGCTACTCACAAGCGTAAATGCACCAAGAGGAGCCTCACAAGGAAGAAGAATCGAGTTTAGTGAGCTCATTTCAGTTCAAAAAAGATTTTCATGAAAATATTGTAATAAAACTTTAATTTTATAAGTCTATTTCCATTTATTTTGAGGTATTGCGTTATTTAACAACTCAGTGAAAGACAGAAAAGACAGAAAATCCCTAGCCCAGTGAATCCTACTAACAGCCAGTCCTATTGCACCATGTGAACTTATTGCACGTCACACCAGCTCTGCTAGTCAATCATAGTATGTTGTTGTAGAGCTGTGATGGCGAACCTATGGCACGCGTGCCACAGGTGGCATACGGAGCCATTTGTTAGGGCACGTTGCCCTGTCAGCGCCAATGTGCATGCTAGCTGGCTAGCTGACTTCGGCCTTCTTTTAAGGCCGTTTTTTGCCCTCTGAAGGCTTCCTTGAAGCCTCCGGAGCGTGAAAAAATGGCTCTACGGCCAAACCAGAAGTCACTGTTCCTGAATTTTCGGGTTCCCTGCAGGGACATTTTTCGCCTTCTGGAGCCTTCAGAAAAGCTCCTGAAGCCTCCAAAGGGCTTCCAGGGTGGGGAGGAGGGGCTGTTTTCTGCCTTCCTGGGCTCCTAGAAAGTCTCTGGAGCCTGGGGAGGGCAAAAAAAGCATGCCAAACCTGGGAGAAATTGTGCTGGTTGCATGCATATGCACATGGGAGGGTTTCGCGCACATGCACATCTGGGTTGCACGTATAGCATTATGAGTGTGGGCATGCCTGCACACGACCCCCCTGTGTTCCCCCCACTTTAGGCACGCAATCCGAAAAAGGTTAGCCATCATTGTTGTAGCGTTATTTTTCATTCAGGACTCTGACAGTCCACGGATAAAAACTGTTGTTCAGACTGTTTGTGCAGCTGCCTATGCTTCTATATCCAGATGGTAGAATAACGAAGGCTGACCAGGGTGTGAGTCATACCTGAGGATTTACCTCATTCTTCTAAGGCAGCAAGCCCTAGCGATGTCGTCTAGCCATATCAGGGGACAGCCCACGATACACTGATCCCTAAAAGACCCCATAAAGCAGAAGGCACAAATAGATCTTTTGCTCCTAATTAATGTTTTGTTCCCAATTAACCACAATCTCTTTAATGGACCCTCTCATCCACAAATGCATTAACTACTGCTAGGACCCACCATCACATTACCACCTGGGAAACCTTTACTGACCATGTGGGACATAAATCTAACTCATAGGTGGTGGAGCTCACATTCCTTGAAATCCTGTCCACTTCCTCAGGAACAGGGTCAAATTCCCATGGCAATAAGTCACATAGACACTTTCTTCATTTCTGCATCTATGAGACTCCAGGGGTTCTGGGGACCAAAAACATAGAAAGTCCAGCCAGCAGTCTATCATCCTTCACACAAAAAGGTCCAGCCATCACTCTTGGAGCAGTTCAGGAGAGTTCATGTTTTCCACAACACTATCACACAGCCAGAGCCATTTTAATAGAAGCAACCATATCACAAAATCATACTTGAGCTTCTGAAATACACCATATACCACTGTCATTTTGTTAGGGGAACATTTATCCTATATTTCTATATGCCCTTTTTAACAATATTTATTTATGCATTATCAACTTAGGAAAGGTGAAGATTATAAACTAAAATAAAATGAATCTCTGACATAATACTAAAAGCATTATTTTGAAAAATTACAGGAATTGGAACTAAGCATTAAATTATCCAATGACTTTTATGAATATCTGTCCTTCAGACTGAGGATAATGTAATTCACAACTGTCATGCACAAGAATGGTAGGATACGTACCATTCCATATTCTTCCATGAGCATACCACATAGTTGCCAATGTTTGTCTTGCACCATCCCAGAAATCATTCAAATAACCTTCTTTTATGTCTGTCTTTCTTTTGTAAATATGAACAATGATAGCCGAAATGTAAATGAGGAGGATGATAATTGTTGGAAGCAAAAAAACTAAGAGTAGTGGCATAAATAGCCATGTGAGATAGATGAGGTAACTCAGATATTCTCCCAAGTTTTCTACTCCAGTCCATTCTTCTAATATATAAAACATGCATGTTAAATAGGATATCTGTTCTGTACCGCAGGATTCATTTTGGTGTATCATGTTCTGTTTAAAAAGGAAATAAAACATAAAGCATTTTAAAAATCTAGACCATCGTATATTTGTCCTTGAATTGTTAATTTGACTTTTAATTATTAATTTGAATTATTAGAGAGAAAAATACAAGAATGCTAATCTACATATGTTTCCTAAGAAATGAGTCTAATTAAACTTAATAAAGTTTCATTTCAAACAAATGATTATAGAAATGCATAATATACTGCATATAGAACATACTATATTGCATATAGTAAATAAACATGAACTATAGTCATGTCTAAGTGCATCATCTGATCTAAGAATAACATATTTGAGATCTTGACATACTTGCTTAGCTTGAAAGTCTTGATTCTAACTTCATGTACTACTAAAAAACAATACAGGTTTTGTAATAAATATTATGCAAAGCTTTCGTGTGATCCCTTATTTTAATGTTGTACTTTATATCACACTTCTATTACACTGTATCAAAAGGAAGTCACTTCAAGCAATCCAAGAAGATATAAAAAGTCAACTCCACGTCCCTACAAAATATAAGAACATACCCTTATTTTTAAATATGCATTTTATACACAATAGTCCAATTCACGCAAGGCAAAATTATTGAACATTCAAAAGGAGACTGAATTGGTGATATGTTCTTGAAATGACCTCCTATCTCCTCTTGCAATTTTATATAAAAGTTTGAAAAGGTTGCTTCTTTACAGCAAAACCACAAAGAATCTTGTGGCACCTTAAAGATTTCCAAATTATTACCATATTAATTTTTTCTGTGCTATAGTCTATTAGAGGAAACATCAGTCAAGAAACTGACTAGGTATACATAATAAATTTGTTCATGATGGGCAACATTGCCATCTGTCAGAAATTATTTTGGGAACTTTTGCACCAAGCAAGTCAAGATCTGTTCTGATTGACACATTCATTAAATAATCTAGATCCATTGGTAATTAAGAAACACACTTTTTTGATGATTTTCATCCACCTGGGATTACTGGTTTACTGGGAGGAATTAATGTTGCAACTCATCAGGAGGGTAAAAGACAGGGAAAGCTGTTGGATATGCTTAATTTCAAGAAAGAAAGGTGATCAGATGCAGCTTCTCCTCTGCTCTTCAAAAATTTCTGGCTGGTACCGAATCTTCTGCAGGTTCACCTGTCCTGTAAAGGAGTAGATTCACATTTTAATACTAAAGCTGAGGTGAGCTGAGAAGGGGAAGGGCCTTCGGTTGCTTTTCCTTTGATCCTACCAAAACCCTACCAAAGTTAAGGCCAGCAAAGCTTTGAATACGATCATTTCTTCACTCCAGCATCCGCAGGATTCATCTCCCAGCAGCAGAGGGAAAACATCCTCGGGACTTTACAACGCCTTTACAACGAATTCCCTTGGGAGCCTTTCAAGAAGCAGAGCTGCCTCCCTTCAGGTAATCCCTTCAGGATTTTCTTCCGACCGGAGATGGGAGATCCACGGAGAAAAGCTTCAGGACAGACGGGCAGGGAAGGGTCCGGAGCTTCGCAGGAATAGAAAGGGGGGGGGCGCTTTGGCCATAGAGGGTGCAACGACGCTGGTCAACCAAAAAAACCCCAATGCCCGCGCTCTCCCCCTCACCGGCCGGCATTCAGGTAACCCGGGACAGTCCAGCCAGGAAGTCCTTCCCCTTCGCCCTCTTTTAAGGGCAGGAAAGTGCTTCGCCGTCCGAAAGACCCCAGCTTCCCTTCTGATTTTGCTCCCCACTCCCAGGAGGGCGGCATTGGGAGTGTGCGCTTCGAAGGGCACCGAGGCTCCTTTGGAGCCCAGCCAGCTTCCGACCCTACCGTGCTTCCCAGAGGGGGACCCGCGAGCGCGCGTCTCGGAGGGGTCGGCTGCTCGAGTTGCGGGCTGCAGCTCCGCCATAAGTAGGTGCGCAGAGAGATCCACTGTCTTTCTGCAAGGGGATGGTGGAGAGCGGAGTGAAATCGAATTAAATGAACGAATAACCCCGATACCTCGCCTTTTCCCACAAGCCCCAAGGCAGCATACCAGTTTTCCCCATTCCAGTTGTATCCTTCTATAAAGTTATTGGCACCGCCCCGTTGCTCTGCAGATGAAATGAAAGTGTGAAAAGCCGGAATCAGACAATCCGTGGTTTCACCAAATTATGGTTTAAGGAAATACTTTGCCTGCTATGTAATCACCCTATACAGGCGACTCCGAATCAGGAAGCAGGCGGCCTCTTTCAGCGAATACACAAAATACAGATCGGACTCAGAGAATTAGAGTAACTCCACAGTCCCTCGCCTTGTCACTCTACTAAGTCCCTCGCCTTGTCACTCTACTATATTCTGGCTCTATCAAGTTCGAGGTGCCCTGACGCTGCCGAAGGGAAGGCAAGACTTTGGCGCATGCTCGTTTTGTTTTGTGGCACTTCCTGTTTTTTTTCATTTGCTTGACGGTTTTGCTCGCCGAGGCGTAATATTATATAGCAAAATGCAGAAAGTTTATGACCCTTGTGTTATAATTGAGGAGGGTCTGTTTCATCTCGTGTTTACTTTCTAATGCACAATATTCTGTATGCTTGTATTTCAGATTAAAATGTCTTCTGTTGCTTATACTGCTGTTTCTGGACAAAGACCTTTACTTCAATGAGTAAAACTGGTACAATTCAGAATGAAGCAGATGAGCCTAAAAACGTCCAGCTTGTCTACATTTTAAATTGATCTAAGACGTAAGAAGATGCCCGCATAACTTTGACTAGAAGACCATTGTCCCTCCTTTTCTGATTCCACTTTGAAGTGCTACTGCTGAGCATGAATGGCTGCCTAATAAAAGTTTCTAGCAAAACATAGCAAGTTTAGGTGTGTAGCTGCTGTCCTTAGTGGTCACCTGAGATGCTGCAGGAATGTCTCCCTCATCATTTCTCCAACTAACCAAGGATTTTCAGGAACAGAAGGGAAGATATTGGTATAATCTGTATCGAAAGACCTGCTGGTCCCCGTTTTATCACATCACTTTTCTGTACATATCCAAATATATACCAGTGGACTTCTGACATATCCTGAATGGCCTTGCAAGGATAGTTAAGCAGAAAGACATAAACCCTGCCCATAGCTTTGACCTATTTTTTTCATTATTTTTTTAAAAAATAAATCAATGTGTGAAAAGTGGCACCTGGGTGTCATACATTCTAATACAGTTCTAATGCATGTGCTCACATTTGCAAACTGGTAGCAAAGGTAAGTAGATTTCACTCCTGGGTGTAAGGTTAGTGTTAATATATTTCCTTCTTGTGCTATTGGACATTTCTTAACCACTTTTTAAAAATCTGCTCTGAATTGAGTGCTATACTCAAGGAAATTTGTGTAATATCATCTGCATCCCCAAACATCTCTCATTACAAATTTTCCCACCAAAGCTTGGGTTCGTGTTTCTTAAGCTTTCCTTCTAGGTGAAGCTTTGTGATGATATTCCATGAATCATTTTATTGTTATGGGCCATAATGTCCTTATTTATTGGCTGTCATGATGCTGTAAAGAAAATTTTCATCTTCATTATCACTATTAAAATTACCAGCAAGTTTACATTTTTGAAGCTGTCATCTCTGCCAATTCAAACATTTAATGTAATTTATCTGGGCACTGACTTTTGATTTAAAATATAAATATGCATACATACTTTTGGAAAAAAACCTATTGAAATATGTCTTTAAATCTGCTTATCTTTGAACCTCAAGTTGGATAAGAGGATTTACATCTTCATCAGTGTTTGGAAATGTGTAGCTTAATATTAAACTCTACCCTTCTGTTTTACTTGATGGAAGATCAAAGAAGTCTGGATGACTGAACTGAAAATGAATACCTGAAGTCAGACTGCTTAAAGAGAAAGTTCCTTTTAATTTTCAAAAGTATAGGATAGAAGGCTCCTGAAAGGTAGTCTATGAAATGTCCTGAGGAGCCTAAATTGGACATGTATAAATGCAAAAGAAAAGTATGGTTTGTGGAAAACAGTTGTGTGTATATGGGTTTGTGTGTTTGTGTTGTTCTAATGTTCTGGCAGTTCATCAGAAGTTCCTTTTGTTATTTGTCTTCTAAAACTATTGAATATTAGTTTTTGTATGCTCATGAATTACGTCTTTTTGAGATTTTTGTTTGTTAATCCAAATCCTCATTTGGTTGCATTGCTTCTAGCAATGCTTAGTCTTGCAATATGGTATTTGTTCCCCAATGTTACCAGCAGATAAAATTTGAATTTCTAACAAAAACAAAGCCCAACGTCAGTTTTCACTGAAAGTAGTTTATATCAGATTGGTTTCCACGCCAATATTTTTTAAATTTATTTCAGTGTTTTTATTCATTTATTAGTCAAAACATCTGTTGAAGTCCAATCTTAAGACTATTTGCACAACCTGCTACACCAGAGTTACACAAGTTGTAGATGGAAAAGGGCCATCTTAATTAATTAAAAATATTAGCTTTCTGCAAAGAAATAGCTGGTATGCCAATTATAGGTAGTTCTTGATTTATGACCACAATTGAGCCCAAAACTTTTGTTGCTAAATGAAACATTTGTTAAGTGAATTTACCCCCATTTTATGACCTTGTCCCAGTTTAGTGAATTATTTCAGTTGTCAGTTTATTAACACAATTGTTAAGCAAATCTAGTTTTTCCATTGACTTTGCTTGTCAGAAGGTCACAAAAGGAAATCACATGACCTGGGGACACTGGTCATAAATGTGAGTCAGTTCCCAAATGTCTGGATTTTGATCATGTGACCATAGGGATGCTACCATAGTGGTAAGTGTGAAAAACAGCATAATTTAATTTTTTCAGTGCCGTTGTAAATTTGAATGGTCACTAAGTGAACTGCTGTAAGTCAGGGACTACCTGTAATTGTTTGATGGCTGGTGGAGCAGCAACAGAGCTGGCGGCATTGGTAAGGCCGGGAGGTGTTGGAGCAATGTGTCTTTGTGGCAATGGTTGCAGATCCTTCGTGAGGGTGAACTATCATTTTATTATTAAAAATATGGCTGATGAGCTGCATGCAGACCATGTCTTCTACCAGCCTGCCCTACATGCTTATCCAGACAGACCATCAGTTTGAACACATTTGATACAAACAAAATTTCCTTCCATTCTAAATATATCCCATAAAAATTTACTTTGTTAAAAATGCCTGGTGAAATACAGCTTCAAGATAGTCTACAAAGATTGCCTGTTTCACAAAAACCCAATAGTGAAATTCTTTACCACTCCAATACATATTGCAGTGAAGCACAACACAAATGCCATCTTGTTCAATATGATTTTAATATTTTAAAAAATATATTTCTTAAGATTTATACAACTGCCTATCTCACATTAGTAATTCTGGATGGCTTACAATGTTTAAAAACAATACGGTAGTAAAATGCACAATATAAATAGCAGCCAAGGAACCAAATCAGTCTAAAACATATTTATTAGTGTGATTAATGAATCCAATAAAATGGCTGCATTGAAATTCATATACCAGTATATAAATCACATTTATAAAAAGCAAACACAAAATAATTCTTCCCTAAATTCATCCTAATTTAGTATTGCTATGATTATGTTCATATCATTCAATTATGGAAAATATTTGTTTTAATTACGCTCGCACTGTTTTTCTTTGACAGAATCTGCCTTTTATCCATTTTGCACATATGAAGATGAAGAGTGTCTAAAATCTCCACCCCAATTGCACACGTGTAACTTCACCTTAACGGAATTTTGGATCTACTTATATACAACTTCTCAAATTACAACTCATAATAAGTCTAGTATTGTATCATTCACTAATCATGACCTACCTAACCGTAAGCATACCAGTTTCTAAGTAACATTTCAACCTTGAAATAAAACCATGTTTTAAAAGCCTTATGAAGTGCTTTTTTCATGCAAATGAAAAATCGCATAATACTTTATCCTTTCTTTGCTAGAAAAAAAGTACAATACTAAATTAGAAAAGAATATAAATTAAAATTTTTGATATCCTGTATGATTGTCAAACTCATAATAATTAGCAGCGTGTTGTCTCACTTGGCCTAATCATAACATTTGACCAATTTACTCCTTTTTCTTTTCTTTGTGAAATCTTTCCAATAAAGCCCGACAGATGCTTCCAGGAATTTGCTGGTGCTTTCTAATTAATGACTGGAGAGCAATTTGGGTCTGAAAATGACAGTTTAAAAAAGGAAGAAATGATTCATTATCACAATTATGTTGGACTATTGTGTATAAAATGCATATTTAAAAATAAGGGTATGTAAATAAATGTTAAATTTATGAAAGCTACATCCTTGGTACTCTCAAATCCAAATAGTATTTAGGCCCGATCTGTTCTGTGTCCTCAAAAGGCTCGGAATAAAGGGAGGCATTATATAAAATTATAGCTTTTTATTCTCATAGAAAAGTATACAGGCTAGAAATACCTTGAGAAAGGATGTGGGGGTCCCTTCTTCCAATTCCCAGATCTAGACTAAATAAAGTCTGTCAGATTACAACTCTTATATATAAATTTATTTTTAAACTAGCCAATAACCTGGCATTGGCCAGGTATTTATTTATAGGGGGGGAAATGTCCAGCCCAAATGTAATTTCTAATGTTGGACTTTCCCCCATACCAGAGGGAGCCCTCTTGAGGAGTACTGTGAAGTCGTTACCATGGCAACTCCACTGCGCTGTACAATAGAAGCCATTTTACGGGAATACAGTAGAAGCCATTTTAAGGCACAACAGGCTGTATCTGAACACAACACATATCCTTAGGGGTGTCTTACTCTCACAGTATTTTTTTTTCCAGAGAAAGTAATCTGCGCACCATTTTTGGGTGAAATTGCTTGAGGCGTTCCAGAGATAGGTTGAAGGTTTGAAGGTTTATTTTATTTATATGCCGCCCTTTTCCCTGAGGGACTCAGGGTGGCTCACAAACCCAA